GAATTTCGTTGAAAATAAACCTAAAATCATTTAATTTCCTTAATTTTTTGTTTTTCTAGGATATCCTGAAAAGTGCTACAATGATTTTACTTTTAAAACCTTCCTTGAAATAAAAAAAAACTTAAAATGTTCAGTCGAAAAAAAAGTTCTTTCCAGATTCTTTGAAATGTCAATTTAAGTTGAGATGTATTTACGCCACGACGGAGAACGAAATGGAAATCTGCACCACACTTTCAATTTGAATTGATGGAATTTACCAGCAGATAAATTTACTGACATCGCATCGAAAATAGGATAATACCAACACATGCTGGATATATTATTATTTTTGTGTTCTACTAATAAGTAGAGAAGAGATCGATTACGTTTAATCTAACAAAAATTATCAACTTTCAAAATATCCATGTGCGTCAATATGGAAAACGGTGACGACCAATTAATTTGAAAACGTCACTGCAGTGTGGTTTTGTTTATAAATTATATTTATTCGAATATTGCAACGGATTTATATTTTTTCTTACTTTGTTTCTTAGATATAAACAAATAAAAATATAAGAAATTGTAATGTACCTAACCTATGTAAATATATATATTTTTATTATTGATATGTAATAAAATATCTTATTTTAGTTATTACGATTTATGAGCCTAATCAATTTGAACTTTGAAGGGGATACATTTGTTATTGAAATCCAAAATTAGGTCAATTCCATGTTTCCATTATTTAACATCTCCTAATACCTATGATAGGTAGTAGGTACTGATGAATATAGCTTTCGAACTTTTATAGCAAGACTTTTTCATTAGGCAGAAATAAATTGGTACTATATACAGTACATTAAACTTTACATGTGTGATTCGTAATCATCGGCATTGGTATAAGTGAAAAAAAATTTAACGATATTCTTCAAAATGTATTATTTTTTCGTAAATTTGTTAATTTATCATTTTTTTGCGATCCGTTCAACGACAAAATGCTGTTGGAAATAATAGTTATAATATGTGTAGGTAGGTAATAGGTAAATGGTATACGTTACAAGAACTGCTAAAACTATATATGCGGTTACCTATGTAGTAAGGGGAAAATACACGATAGGGGAGGTAATAGTTTTTTTTTTAGTGAGATACGTGTGTATTATTATAAATACGGTATAATAATACTGTGTTTTCATGGTTTTTTTAAGGTGACCCTCTTTTGGAGCAAAGTTTTTATACCATGTGAGGCTTTTCTTTGCTCAAAACTTCATCATTATCGTTTCCTATATTAAAATAAATATTTATTAATTTCCAATAAACCATGTGTTAATTATTTTCAAATCTAATATACAAATCCCGCACTCTCCGATTTCCAAATCTCGGCTGCGTTGTTGGTTGGCGACCTATTGCCGGTAGATACATAATATTCATATTAGTATCTACCGGCAATAGTAGGACAGTTAAAGTACTTTGATTTTCTTCAACAGTATCTTTTCTCATAGGAAAGTGACTCTAGTTGGTACTTTGAGGGGGTCAAAAGTAAAATTTTTACAGTAGTTTTCAAAAGCGCAGTGAAAAACAAAAGAAAAATTAATTAAAAACGGGAATTTTTACGCAAAATCTGTTTTCGATAAAATCCCTTTTGGTTTTTGGTGTAACTTTAAAAGTTAAAACAAATGACCGTAGATGCATAAAATTGTCACTGGTTGTTTATATTTGCATCACCTATACACGATAAAATTTTCAAAATATTTTGATTTATTTTGAACTGATTAGGGACATTTTCAGTTTCCAATTTCATTAGTTTTTTTTTTTATGAATATCAATCAAATTTTATTTGTTGAGTAAAAATACATGAAAATTTAATAGAATGCTCCAAGTATATTGTTTCCAAGGCAGATGAAAAATATTAAAAATCCTTAGTCACAGTTTTTTTTTATAAGCATTTAAAGTCCAAAAATTGACAAAATATGGAAAAATCACGAAAATTATCAAATGATTTTGAAGTAAGAATTTCCTAAAAATGTTTCTTTTTAAATTTAAGATTTTAAAATGTAATACAAGATTCCTTATAAGATTATCTACCTTTATCAAAAACCTGAACTGTGATGGAAGAAACAATTAAAATGTTACATACTTTAATTTACCTACTCATAATCACCCACTATTTAAGGCATAAATCATTCATATATGATAAAAACGGATAAAATTATTTTTTAAAAATTAAATAAGAAATATTTTAATTGTCAACACAGTTTTAAATTTTAAATAAATACAATTCTGCAATCTGAAATGGTACCTAATAATATGTTATCAATTTTATCTTTAAAGACATTAAATTTATTATTATTTATTATCATTGAGTATCAATGTTATTTTTACCTACCTTATGATTTAAAAAATCAAAAATCGTGATGTTTATATTATGATATGACTATGTATACAAATGTCAGTCCGTCTCGCAGAGTGTTCCATGGCCCACCCGGCCCCCCATGTGCGCACGCTTATGGATATCGGCACTGTTCCATGCTATAAGATATACTGAAATGTTTTCAAAATTTCAATCTATCAGTTTATAAATAAATCCAATAGAGACGTTAAGTCACTGAATGGAGGACAAGAATTGAAAACATGAGTAGCTGTTAGTGGATATTGGAGATTTAGATAGTCTTACTGGCCCATAAAATCTAAGAAGTAGAATATAACACCCACGACCTACCTTTACTTTTTAGATTCTGAGTGAAACGATGAATGTATTGATTTTACAATGATGTGTGTTTTTATATATTTTTTTTTATTTTTTAAGTTTTTAATTTTTTTAATTTTTGTGTCTGTGTACACGATAAGTAGTCGAAATAATGCTTCGATTTTCAACTTCAGTATCTTGTTCGATTGGAAAGTGAATATCGTTGGTCAATTAGGGAGGTCAACATTTAAAATTCCCAGTAATTTTCAAAAGTGCCAAGAAAAACCAAAGAAAAATTAAGGAAAAACGGGATTGTTTCAATGGCAGATAAAAAATATTAAAAATCCTTAGTCACAGTTTTTTTTTATAAGCATTTAAAGTCCAAAAATTGACAAAATATGGAAAAATCACGAAAATTATCAAATGATTTTGAAGAAAGAATTTCCTAAAAATGTTTCTTTTTAAAACTAAGATTTTAAAATGTAATACAAGATTCCTTATAATATTATCTACCTTTATCAAAAAGAAAATGTCTATAAGATAGTTAAATTAAATTTTTATGAGCGTTTGAAATTAAAATTTTTACAACATTCACTCGATTTCTCATTTAGTGATTTCCTTATTTTGTTGTAATTCAAAAAAGAAAAACTGTAAATACATAAAAATTTCACTGAATATTTATGTTAGCATTTTCTATACACCACTATTTTGAAAATATTTTGACCGTTTTTGAGCTGTTTACGGACATTTTCAGTTTTCAATTTGTTCAGTTTTTCTTTCTATAAATATCAATAAAGTTTTATCTGTTTTGCCAAAAAGTGTAAAAATTTAATACAGGGCTCCTGATATATTGTTACAATATCAGTTGAAAAATATTAAAAATTCATATTTACAATTTTTTTTATAAGTATTTAAACTTTAAAGTACACATTTTGACAAAATTTATCAAATTTAAAATTGAATAATTATTTTGTAGTTAAAAATTTATAAAATGGTCAACTTGTATATCTAAGGATTGAAAATTTAAAACAAGATTCCATGTAATTAGTTAATTCTGTTACCAAAAAATCTAAAATATACATAAGCACAGTTTTTTTTTTTATAGTCATTTTAAGTTCAAATTTGGACGAAATTACATAATAAAAAACCTAGAATAACTATTTTAGTTATTTTGTTGTGATTGTATAATATTATTCGTGGGCACTTGAAACTTCTAAAGTACACTATTATATATCTATGATAGTATCAGGGGTTGTTGTAATGTATAACGCGATATAAGTACCTAATTGATATTGTGATATGATTAATTTGGAATTTATAACAGGGCAATTTTTTTTAATACCATATGTTCGCGCCGGGAACGGACAACAATAGGCCGTGGGCCCGGTCAGCTCAGTACTTCGTCGCGCACTCCTATCACACACCGACCGACCTATAGTTTGTGTGTATATTATGTTATTAGCATTCAACAGAAGGTGGCCAGGTTCGCCGAGCAAATCCTGAGAATGCTAGTGTGTAGTGGGTGTGTATATGAGTATGTGTGAAATGTAGACTTATAACTAATTGACTAGGTAACTCAAGTAATAAATATGGCAATTAAATATAAGCTGTCACTCTTTGTTTATTGACGAACAATGTATATATAATGATAAATATATAGGCAGACCGGCTCAACACACAATAATAATAACAATAATAAGTAGGTACTCACAATAATTTAAGATGCGAAGACTGGCCAGCCGCTACATGTACCTAACCTACATATAATATTATACAGTGCTAATAAATAACAATGGTTATAATAATGTTACAGCGAATTGCCCTCACAATAATTTAATATGATATCACTAATGACGATGGCTATACGAGCCTTAACAGAATTATAAAAAAAACACAGCGGCGATAGGCGCACACGAATAATATAAAAATTACAATAATAAAAAAAACACAGCGGCGATATGCGCACACGAATAATAATATAAGAATTGCAATAATAAAAAACACAGCGGCGATATGCGCACACGAATAATATTATGAAAAATGACAATAATAAAAACTTCGACTATTTGCGCCTATACACCTGATCATGCATTCAACCATACGGGTTTGCGATCGACGCACTACTACTAATTAAATGACAGACACAAATAGTACATAATTTATAATTCACTGATAGGACATGAGATGTGCGTTGTGGGTCGGGAGGTGGAAGTGCGCGGAGCGGTCAGCGATACTGCCGCGAATTATAATAGATTGGTGATATAGACTTACGTAATGATATATGATATAAGTGTCGTTCCGGCGCGAACATTTCTCCCCCCTTTGAAAATAGTGATTTTCAAGAGGCTTCTGCTTCATCTTCAACTGGTAACCGACAGAGCTTTACAACGGGACGTTTTATTTCATTTCCGTTTGCTAGGCGGATGGTTACTACTCGAGTCTTTCCGTCGCTCCCTGGATGCACATTTGTAATGCGTGCCAGTTTCCATCTTGCTGGTGGCATGTTGTCCTCCTTTACAATTACTAAATCATTTACCACCAGTGGCTTGCAGCCTGCAGTCCACTTGCCACGCACTTGTAACTGTGGCAGGTATTCAATAAGCCACCTGTTCCAAAATGTTTGCATCAAGCCTTGTACCAAGTTCCATTTTGACAGTCTGCTCGGGCCTTCATTCGATACATCGGGTTCTGGATGGAAAAACATAGGACCTCCAATGAGAAAATGCGCTGGAGTTAGAGGGTCCATGTCAAACGGATCACTGCTCATGGGAGTGAGTGGTCTGGAATTGAGGCAGGCCTCTACCTGGCATAATAAAGTTTCCAGTTCACTGTACGTCAGGCTACCTTCCTTTAGTACGCGTAGTAGATGATGTTTTGCACTTTTTACGCCACTTTCCCAGAGCCCACCAAAGTGGGGTGCCGATGGTGGGTTGAAGTGCCATGTTACACCTTCATTTTCTAACGTATTTGCCACATTTTGTACGTATTCGGATAACTTTCCTTCTGCTCCAACAAAATTTGTACCATTGTCGCTCCACATGGCCGATGGCTTCCCGCGCCTTGATATAAATCTGCGTAGAGCAGCTAAAAAGGCAGCGCTTGTCATATCTTCTACTGCTTCTATGTGAATAGCCTTGACTGAGAAGCATACAAAAATGGCAATCCATGCCTTTTTGCTAGGTCTTCCTCTTATGCCACTGCGAATAGAGACAGGGCCTGCAAAATCCACACCTGTATTGGCGAATGGGCGTGTACACTGGACACGTTGCTTCGGCAAGTGTCCCATGCTTGGATGATTGAATGTGGGTTTAGCCTTGATACATTGAATGCACCGACGAAAGGTTGAACGAGCTATTACTCTACCCTTAATAGGCCAATAACGACGCCTGACCTCTGCAAGTAACGATTGAGGGCCACAGTGTAATAATTCGACATGAACATGGACGAAAATCATCTTCGTGATTTTGTGGTCACTTGCGAGAATAATTGGCTCCCTTTGATATTGTGGTATGTCGGCGTTTCTTAAGCGTCCACCAACTACCATAAGCCCATTTTTTAATTTGGGTTGTAATGATTTTAGCTTGCTTCGACAGGATATCTCCTTTCCGGATATTAGTGCTGAAATATCACTATTAAACGAGTCTATCTGCGCTCTTTTTAACAGAGTGTTGTCAGCTCTTTCTAACTCTTCAGCGGTAAGGTAACGTTTTGCCGGTTCTGCATGTTTTAATCTAAGATAGTCTAAAAATTTATGCATCCAGGCCACTGCTCTGCGTAGTTTATACCATTCAGAGTAAAAGTTAACTAGATCCCTTGTTGGTTCCCTCGTTATTAAAGCTAACCTTATAAGCTTTAATTCTGGGAGATCTACTGGTTTTGGCCACAGATTTGGGTCTTCCTTCCTACTCTTGTCATCTTGTTTCAACCACAATGGCCCTTGCCACCATAACAATGTTTCCTTTAAGTCTTGAGGTCTTATTCCTCTGGATAAAATATCAGCTGGATTCTCGTTGGAACTGATATAGTGCCATTGATGACTATTTGTTATCTCCAAAATTTGACATATCCTATTTGATACGTATGTCTTGAGACGGTTAGGTTGACTGTTTATCCATCCGAGAACTATTGTTGAATCAGTCCATAGCCAAAATTGAGAGATATCAATTTCCCAGGATTTTGCAATCCTTAGGCCTAATTGGGCTAAGACTAATGCACCACCAAGTTCTAGGCGTGGAATTGTAGCACCGGTGAGTGGTGCTACACGTGTTTTTGCGCATATCAATTTTACATGCCATCTACCAAGGTGATCTTTACTTCTAACGTAAATGCAAGCGCCATACGCATCTTGAGATGCGTCAGAAAATCCGTGAATCTCAAATTCTTGGGATGGTGCTTCCTTCGCCTTTCTTGGAATCTCTAGTGTTTGAAGTTCTACAAGATCTGTCCAGAACTGGTGCCATCTTGACTTTATATCAGCTGGCAGAGGAGAGTCCCAATTAATTTTCATCTGCCACAGTTGTTGAAGGAACACCTTACCTTTCACGAGAACTGGAGCTAAAAATCCAAGCGGGTCAAAGATGCTGTTCAGAGATGATAAAAGGGCTCGTTTGGTTATCATAGCTTCTAACTTGTTATTTTCCAAATTAAATTTGAACACATCTGTTGTAGGATTCCAGCACAGACCTAACGATTTAATTGTATCCTGGTCTCCTAACTTCAACACAAATAAGGGATCGTCATTGGAACCTTCAATTTTTTTTAATATTGTGACCGAATTCGAGCACCATTTTCGTAATGGAAGCTTGGCTGAGCTGAGAATGCTTGAAACATCTTGTTGCAACTTTAAACATTCTTCTTCAGAATCACCCCCAGTCATAATATCATCCATATAAAAATCTCGCCTTATTGTTTTTGCTGCGTTTGGAAAAAGTACTTCATTTTGACTAGCTAATTCATCCAAACACTTCGTTGTCATAAAGGAGGCCGGAGTCGTACCATAATTCACTGTATTCAATCTGTATTTTCGCAATACGTCGCTAGGATGCTCTCGCCAAACTATCCGTTGAAGATCTCGATCTTCCTTGGCCACTAATACCTGCCTAAACATCTTCTCAATGTCAGCGGTAATAACGAATTGATGCTTACGAAACCGACTCAGAATAGAAATTAAATCTTCTTGAATACTTGGACCACGCATTAGCACATCATTCAATGCAATACCATTCGATCCTCTTGCGGACGCATCAAACACGACTCTGACTTTCGTTGTTAAACTAGATGATTTGATGACAGCATGATGTGGTAAATAGAACGTGGGTCTAGTTGTAATATCATCTTTAATCTCTTCCATGTGGCCCATTTTTACGCTGAAGCCTTCTCTCAACGTTTATGAAACGACAGGTTGCCATATTCAAGCTACAACCTAGCTCGTTGACTCTTGGCCTTGTCGGTAATCGTAAAACAAAACGACCATCCGAGTTTCTAGTGACTGTTTTCATGAAATGATCCACAGCTTCTTGTTCCTCCGAAAATCGTAGGTTAGTTTTTGAAGAGCGGCCGAATGGCTGGTTCTCTTCACGTTGAATTGCCTCCCAAGTCCCAGTCTTCATCTAGTGGCCTTCCAACTCCTAAAAGACAGGTTGCCACAACTTCACCAGTTACAACCCATCCTAGCTTGGTTCCTTGTAGTGATACGTTGCCAATCTCTAATGGAATTCTTTCAGGAGTCATAATGTCGAAAAATACACCTGCTCCTATTAATATATCAACTGGGCCTGCTTGATCGAAATTGGGATCAGCTAATTGCATGGATAATTCCTCGTTAATTATCCAACCATCCCTTGGTTTCCTGCATGATGGAAGATCGCTTACTATATTCGGTAAAACATGACATGTGATATCTAGATTGAATGTTGAGACACATGACAGTAATTGAATGTTGACTCTTGAAGAGGTTTGCAACTGGCTTGTACCAATTCAACACACTGGTAATACCACCCTCTCACTGGGTAATTTCAGCTTGTTTTGCAGACCCTTAGAGATAAAATTCAATTGTGACCCACTGTCTAACACTGTACGACATTTATGAGCCTTGCCATTTATATCTCTAATTGTAACTACCGCGGTTGACAAGAAAACATAACTATTTGTTAATGTAGCAGCCATTGAATGTGCATGTCCTTGAGAAGTTGACGCACGCGTAGGGCTTACCTCCCGTGCATCATTCGTTACGTTGTCATTGGTATTGTCTGGTCTTCCCTCAAGATGAAGTAGTGTATTATGCCTGCGATGACAACGACCACATGAATACTTGGACTTGCAAACATTCGCTAAATGAAAACCTGATAAACAGTTAAAACAAAGTCTAGCGTCTCTTATTACATTTAGGCGTTCTATTATGGTAAGTTTCTTAAAGCTTTCACAAGTATATATTCTGTGCGGACCCTTACACTTAGGACAGACATCATGTTCCGTTCCCACCATTAGAGCGAACTTCTTCGGTTTTTGCTCATATTCCTTCCCCTTTGAATTATTTCGCTGACTGTCTACTTCACCAGAAATCTGTTTACTATAATCAGAATTCTCTAATGCAACACATCTGTTTGCCAGAAACCTTTCTAACGCTTCGTATTTTGGCAAGTGTGTGGATTCTTGGCGCAATTGCCAATCATGACTTGTTGCTGTGTCGAGTCTGCTGACTATAATTGTTACTAACCAGGCATCCCATTGATCCGTTGGTTGTTTCATAGCCTTAAGAGCGGCAATGTGAACGCAAATGTGAGCGTGAAGACCTTGTAATTCACCTGCCGAGGCCTTTTGTATGTATGGAGTTTCTAATATTGAGCGAATATGTGACTGAATAACAAGTCCTGGATTGTCATACCTCTGTTTTAAGCGATTTAATGCCACTTCATAATTTACATCTGTCATTGGTACAGATTTAACCAAATCGAGTGCAGCGCCAGTAAGATGAGACCTTAAATAATAAAACCTTTGGGCCGAAGAAAAACCAGTATCTTCATGCACCATGACTCGAAAACAATCGTAGAACGATTGCCAGTCTTGAATGTTACCGGTGAAGGTTGGCAGTGAAATCGGTTCTAACCGGACTCGATTATTAGTGGTTGATGCGCTGACCGACATATTGTTGATACTTGAGTTAAGACCTTTCTTCGTATTAATAATTTCCTGGATTTGAGAACGAATACAATAATACTCATTTTCAAATTTAGTACGCTCTTCTTCTTCAGCGGATTGCTCTTCAACTAAAAGCTCCAGTTGTGTTTGTGTGTCATCAAACTTCCTGTTTATTATGGGCAACTCTTCTTGTCTAAATTCCAACAGAGTAATTGGATCTTCATCTACGTCAAATTTTGAGACGAATGTCTTCATTCGTGTCAGCGATGCCTTAATTACGCCACGTCTTTTCTTTAATTCGGAAATATCCTTTTCCTGACTTGAATCTAAGACCATATTGTGCAATAAGTGCACGATTAAAAAAGATAATACCTGGTCAAACGGACAATAGCTGACCAAGTTGCTATAATAATATGAGACCAATAATTTAACGAATAAAATTGGCCGTGTTATCTTATACACCAATATACATTATTTACTAAAGATATTCTTCACGATTTCATAATACACTATAATTTGTTATTGATAATAATAATAAAGACATTTATCAGATTATTACATAACAGAGATAGGTATTATAAAGAAAAATAATTTTACCGTGATATGTATATACGGATGTCAACCTCAATATCAATAGAATAATGATTAAATTATAATACCTAAATGTTGTACTATATATTATTATATATCGATCACGTCGAGGTCACCATAATGTTCGCGCCGGGAACGGACAACAATAGGCCGTGGGCCCGGTCAGCTCAGTACTTCGTCGCGCACTCCTATCACACACCGACCGACCTATAGTTTGTGTGTATATTATGTTATTAGCATTCAACAGAAGGTGGCCAGGTTCGCCGAGCAAATCCTGAGAATGCTAGTGTGTAGTGGGTGTGTATATGAGTATGTGTGAAATGTAGACTTATAACTAATTGACTAGGTAACTCAAGTAATAAATATGGCAATTAAATATAAGCTGTCACTCTTTGTTTATTGACGAACAATGTATATATAATGATAAATATATAGCCAGACCGGCTCAACACACAATAATAATAACAATAATAAGTAGGTACTCACAATAATTTAAGATGCGAAGACTGGCCAGCCGCTACATGTACCTAACCTACATATAATATTATACAGTGCTAATAAATAACAATGGTTATAATAATGTTACAGCGAATTGCCCTCACAATAATTTAATATGATATCACTAATGACGATGGCTATACGAGCCTTAACAGAATTATAAAAAAAACACAGCGGCGATAGGCGCACACGAATAATATAAAAATTACAATAATAAAAAAAACACAGCGGCGATATGCGCACACGAATAATATTATGAAAAATGACAATAATAAAAACTTCGACTATTTGCGCCTATACACCTGATCATGCATTCAACCATACGGGTTTGCGATCGACGCACTACTACTAATTAAATGACAGACACAAATAGTACATAATTTATAATTCACTGATAGGACATGAGATGTGCGTTGTGGGTCGGGAGGTGGAAGTGCGCGGAGCGGTCAGCGATACTGCCGCGAATTATAATAGATTGGTGATATAGACTTACGTAATGATATATGATATAAGTGTCGTTCCGGCGCGAACACCATAGATAAGTAGGTATGTAATATGTCTTATACCTAGACTGACATACTGTCTCCCCATCTATCGTTTTTCTTATACAAAGATATTATATCATTGAATTCAAATTTAATACAATCCATTATACAGTGACCCACTTTTAACCTACTGTACAGCAGAGCACCTTTTTTTTCTTTAAAACTAGTCATGTAGAAAAATTTGTCAACGTCTATAGATCGTCATTAAGTTACATTAATGATCAATCTCATTCTGGAAGGTCTTAAGACAGTTATACTTCTTAGTTCTTCTTTAAAATCTAAGTGGTAACATAAACACCACTTGAAAATCTATTTTCCATCTCTATGCTATGTAAAACTACTAAAACTTAAATTTTTGAAATTGTTTTCATTACAAAATTTAGGTTGCAGTTAATAAAACGTCATTCGTCATTAGTTTTTAAGTTCGGCCCCAAAATTTAAAAACATGTAAAATATGTAGGTATTAAATTAATTGTAACCAAATGTTATTATTCAAATTTATTGCAAAGAATGTTGTTGTTATATTTTTAGTTTTTACAGAACCAAATAGTCTAAAATCTAAATGCATTTGCGATTATGGGAGATTAGGTAATAATAACAATATTTTTAACAAATCAATGCGATTTTGAAGGACAGATTTGTATTATAATTTATAATAAACGTTAAAAGATATAATTAAAATGAAAGTACACAGCGGGCGTCACAGCGGGGGCTGCTAACATCCGGCCGACGAAGGCTGCTTGTCCTGCATGGTCAACTGTATGGTCTCCATTAGCCGATCGATGATCGCCGTCTGGTCGGCTGATCGTTGTCGAAGCACGGTAAGTTCGTTTTTGTGACGGTCAATTTCACCGGCCGATCGGCACTGATCGTCGGATAAACGGCGGTTGAGGTCGGCTAAAGTGACTGTTAGTTCGCTGTGCTGTTCGTACAGCCGCTGTCCCTCGCAATCCACCCGGCCCACTTCGGTCCGCAGCCAGTTCATCCTGTACAGCAGCTTCTTGATGACCGATTGCTGGGCGCCGTCATCGTCCTCACGGCCGGCCGCCTCAGCGATTTCGTCATCGGTGAGCGAAGCAGGTGCGCGAGTGGCCTGACGTCCGTCACCTTCGGCAGCCGCCGCCGCATCTCCCGATGATGCGGCTACGACCGCCGCCCGTCGCATTATCGTCCGTTTCAAGTACTCATCCGGGTCCGCCTGGTATTTGTGCCAGCTGAACACTGGCATGGCTTCCCGCAGGAAATCCATAGCCAGAGTAGCCCGGTTCAGCGTCCGGTCGTACAGATAAGCGTATTTTTCGCACAGTGCCATCTGCTCCTTGGCCAAACCGTCGCTGATGTGTTCCGTTCGGCTCTCGAACACGTCTGACACGAACGTCCTGAAGTCGTCCACCATAGCGTCCGACAACTTCATCATTAGTGCCCCTTCATCGCACGTGCAAAGCGCCACCTGCACAGTTCAGTAAGCAAATTATTATTATATGATATATTATATTACTGAAGGATGATTGATGATTCACCAAACATGCTCTCCCCGTTTGTACCTAAATTTATTCAAATTCTGCAGATTTTTAAATTTGTTAGTACC